TAGTCCCACCTGTCTTCCCTGAATTCGAAGTCCAGCAATCGCTCACTTTGGTGGGTGGGTTCTCTAACACAAATTAACTTGAATTGCCAATGACAGCCTGAACCCAAAGTTGGCGAAACACCCGTCCGCCCACAAAGGTCGTGCGTGTTGAACCCACTCGTGATTTGGGCGGTGGGAGAATTACGGGCTCGCCACATGCAAGGCTTATTATTATGCCATTTTATGGCCAATCGATGGGCCCATATCAATTAAATTTGCATTAAATATTCATGATAACCGATGGTTACACGTCGCTTTAATTATCGGCTCAGAATTAACTGGATGAGTGATGATAGTTTGCCATTGTCTTGGCCTGTCGAACAGAGTTGATTGGTCTTCAAATATCATGCACAGAATGGTGTTTCTTTGAACTATTCTTTGAGGATAAAACAGATTGATGAGAAGGTAAACAACATACGGGTTTTTAAACAAGAGAGGAAGCTTATATATATGCAGTCATCACAAATGTTGAGCAAAAGGGATAAAGTGATGCAAACTTTTGACTGAAATTATAATACCCTATGCAAAGGTATAGAAATCGAATATTTCCAAGCTTTATTCAAAACCATAGGTCTCAAGCAGCCAAGGAGATAATGCAATATCAAGTTTAATACCTTCGCCGCCTTAAAATGGCATTATAATTGTACCATTTGCATAATTGATGTATAATGGATACTGACCCAATAATATTCTCCAAAGAAACAGGGGAGGGCGGGTCCTTGGCCGGCATTAAAATCGCATTACGCGCACAGCGGCACGGGAAATCGGTGGAGATTAAATTCATATATCGCGCACGACGACCTTGCGTGTGCGTATGTGAAAATGAGGAAAACCCGAAAAGAAAATTTACAAGAAGAATGCGAGATGATGGTGGAGTGGGGGCAGTGAGCAGCGAGCAGTGAGGAAAAGCGAAGCCAAGACAGAAATTGCATTTCATAAACGGGGGGCTACAGCTTGTGGCAAGGCGAGCCGAAAAGAAATCACGCAATTTAATTCAACGTGAATTATTTATTAGCTGCCAGATAGGGGCGGGCGCATGAATAATTCCCCGTATTTAATGCCGAAGGTTGAAAAGCGAGGGGAGCGATGTGTGGCGAGGAGGGACGGGGGAACTGCGGATGACACTATCCGACGGGGTACGCAAATATTTCCTTTCCATCCGCCCCACTTTCCCATACTCTCCCCCGCCGACACACGCACACATAATTGAATTGTTTTGCTGCACTTTACCAGCTCGTTAAATCTGTCAACATTGATCAATCAAAGTGGGCGGGCCAAAGGGAAAGTTTTCCCGTCTCCGGCCAAAGTTGTAAAAGCAGAGGAGCCGAGGAATTTCCTCTTCTCCTGCGGCACTCGCTGGCATTTTAAAAGCCTTTCCATACAGGGGAAAAGCCAACCGAAAGCAATTTGGCGAAAATGCACAAACAGCTGCCGTCATTGTTGTTACGGCTCCCCATTTGCGAGCCATAAAAGGGCGAATGGCAACTACTTATATTAAAATTAATTAACTACAGAAGACAATGATGCCGAAGAGCAATGGCAGTGCGCTTATCAGAACGAGGAAGCAGCAGCAGCAGCAGCGGCAGCAAACAAATGTTATAAATAAACAGGCAGACAAACCCCTCGTTTTGGCTAGCTGCACATTGGCAAGAGGCACTGAGATGCTGAGATGCTGAAGCGCCGAGCTGGCGAGCTGGCGCGATGCTGAGAATGCCCAGGAAAAGCCGGCCAACTAGAGGAAGCAAACTTGACTCAAGTGCATTGTCAAGGCGGGCGAGAAAAGCAGAAAAAGCAAAGGAAAAGCGAAGGAAAAGCTGCGCGGAGGAGCGAGCAAAGGCGCCCATGCGATGCCATGCGATGATGCACTTGCTCCCACCCAGAGACATACATAATTAAATGGCAGTGAGCCCAGAGACGGCACATATTTATATTTAAAGCATATAAACAGATGTATTATAGTGGGTCTGCACGCCGAGGTATTTGCTGCTTGCTATGAGAATACAAATTAACCGAATTCTTTGCGACTTGCTGCGAAAATACGAGAACATGCTAAGATCAAGGGAACTTGCTTGGGTGCCTTTGACCCTGCTTTTGAATTCCACCTCAAGCTGAGGTATATTCATTTTGCGCTCCTCATTAAATTTGAACGCTTATAAATAAATATTTGATGTGATGAAAACGTGTTCTTGCTACGAAAACAAAACGGTTGGCTGAACTGTTGATAAACACCTACAATTTAAATTATTTCATCGAATAGGAGCCGGTAATATAGTTTCAAGTGGCTCGGACTTAAGTTATTTATGCAAATTCAAATTCAAATTTAGAATAACTGACATTCTTTAAGAGGTGTGTGAAATATATAAACGTTCCTCTCTCCACAAATTCACGATAAGTAACTTAAATATCCGTCAACAAACAACAAACAAATATGTATATACAAAACAGTGTGCTGGCATATGGGTTGCTGTAAGAAAGCAAATAACAGAAATTCTTTGATTCGTTCTACAACAACAAAATGCAAGAAATTTAAATCAAAGGTCAAGGGAACTGCATTCAGAGCTTCCGACCATCAGAAAAATTGCACATTCCTGTATTTATTTAAAATGAATAAAACAATGTGCATCTGCGCCGAGTTATTTAATTCGTTTTTAAATTACTCTGACAACACAATCCCAAAGAATCTCCTTGAGGTTTACATTGAAAGAGCAAGTAACTAGCATATCTTTCAAAATTGCCATTAGGCCAAGAAACTAGCTGTCTGCAATTGCACTGCCAATCAAAAGAAAGTCCTTCAGCTAAAGGCTCAATCAATCTCGTTAAAGCCAGCGTTCCTCCACTCGAGCTGAGGGAAGCGATGGAAAAACGTGGGCAACAATGAAGTTTTGTTGTGATTTGTGTGAGCCATAATTCGTCATAATTCCCAAACACATTGGAGTAAGCAGAACCGTCAGAGGCAGTCGCAAAAAAAATACAGAAGACACAATGATACAATGGCACAATGATACAGGTAGCATGGAGATGTGATACTTATGCAAAAGGAAATTAGATGGGGAGAAGGAGGCACCACGACAGCAAGGCAAACAAAGCTGTCGAAAAGAGTAAACTCAATTTATGAGAAAAGCGTTCGAAGCGGCAGGCAAAACACGGAGCAGCTCCGACACAAATTGCGTATTCGCAACGTGGGCCCCGTGCAGAGTTACCCGAGCAGCAGGAGCTGGCTCAGAGGGTTGGGCTTTTGGCTGTCTACGGGTCCCTGCCCGAATTGAAATTCTGTCTGACATGCACACTCTGACACACGACCAACTCGGCATTTTTGGGCCCTGAGCGAGTTCCGGGGTTGGAATATACATTAGGATAATTAAACAGGACCGTCCATATCGCAGGTGGAGAAGTAGCACAGCTGTCTGATAACCATATATGAAAGAGAAATCAGAATCCAAATAATAACACTGGTATCAAAGTCCGCACGAAACGTCAACAAATATATTAAATCAAATTCTATAAAAACTAAGGCTTCCATTCAACTAAAAGTAATTATAATTCAAAGCAAAAGTCTCAAAAAATGGTGTAGGTATTCGCATTATTGGAATTACTCACCGTTTAGAGAATCTGCAGCGATGCTGAGTTATTTTCGAGTCGTTGAGTTGACATTTCTGTACCTCGCTTTAATTTAATGTAGCACAAATATTTGTTTGTTTACACAACACACGCACTGTTGTTTGTCCGATTCACTGGGTTTACATATGTGGCACATGAATATGGTGTTTGGGGATTGGTTTGTTTTGTGTTCTGGTTAGATTTCGTTTCGTTACCCGGCTTGAAGCTCGTTTTCGAGTCGTTTTGGCTGCACTTCCTTAATTTTTGCAATTTATTCCAATGTCGCTGGCCCACAACACTCACAACAAATAATAATAACAACAACAGGAACTACGACCGATCGACGACGAAATTAGACTGAGACTCGAGCAGCTGTAAGCATTGAAATATTTTGACAATTTCTGTTTGTGTGCCGCCGCTCTTTCTTCTTGCTGTGCTTTCTCGCGATTCTCATGGCTGCTCTGCTAATGTTGCCGCTTTCGATGTTGATATCGATGTTGGTGTTGCTGCTGCTGCTGCTGCTGCCAATGTTGCTCCTTCTCTTGCCACTCCCCCCTCTCCGCATTTTGCTGCTGCTGCTGCTGTTATCATTCCGCCTCCATGGCGCTGCCGTATGCTGTTTGCTGTTCGAGGTTTGCTGCTTGCTCTTTCGAGTGCCTTGGGTCAACGCGGCGTATGCGCGATCTGCTAGACCAGATTATACCGCATCCGTGACGTGGCTTATCCAGCCAATGACGTCATGGCCGCCACCGCTGTCACAGCTGTCACGCGCAGAAAGTGTTCAAACACTATTTATAGACTCGCGGCCGCCCGCGCCGAACGCCCGTCGAACCGCCGTCCATCAGCTGCTGCTGCTAATTTTTGCAAGTGTTTTTCTTAGCGCTTTTCTTGGACCGCAGCTGAAAATAGAAAACAGAAAACAGAGGGTGAGGAAGCGAGAAATTGTCGTTTTTGTGTGTGGGGCTCATTGAAATGTTTGCGCGTACTCAATTTTTATTCGCATCCAAATGTGCATATAAGTGAGGTATACTATGTAGCACAATGCTGTGTGCGGTACAATAAATGTGCGGTGTGGAAATGGCAATCGATGGCAACTGTGATTACTCATACGCCCCGAGAACCGCACAGATGCCAAAAGCAAATTATATTGCATTCGAATGTTTCGCAACTTAAAGTTGGCCCAATCACAGTTTCGATTATTATTCATGAGCCATTAAAGGAGCCATAAATGGCGAGCAGTCAGAGGCGAACTATTAAAGTTGCCGGTTCATTGAAATCCGATTGCTGATTGCCCTCCAGTCACCTGTGCCCCTTTGCCCCGTCGGCATCGAGTTAATTGAATTACTCAGTGACACGCTTTGATGTTCAGTTATGCTTTAATTTTATTAATTTACTCAACGTGTTAACTAAATCAGCCGCCCGGGTTTCCATCTGCCATCGAACTCTTCAGTAAAGTACGGGGGACGGCCTGGGCTGGTTGGGATTGAAGGGCGACGGCCTCGTGTCGAAAATGGGTCCCTGGTGACGATGGGGCTCCGAGAGGACCGCTGGGGCGGTGGCCATCAGTCCCAGCAGGGTCAGAAAAATCGCTCCAAGATTGAGTTGCATCTTCGCTCGGTGACGGCAATTGATTGATGCCCTGAGCCGGCAGCTTGTGGGGCTTTTATAGCCCGCTCGCAGACAAACGAGTCGCAGATTGGGGACTTTTTATTCGAGCTGCTGCGATAAGCAGCCGAATGAATGACGGCCAAGTGTCAGCCGGGGGCAGATAACCGATTGTGGCCAGGGGATCCCTTCCCACGGGCCTTCCCACTCCCTCGCTGGTGCCGGATTATCAGCCTAGACTAAAAGTAAATATGACGTTTCTCGCTGAATATTTATGCTGCCAGTGCCAGTGCCAGTGCTCCTCGTCCCCTGGAAGCACTTGGCTTTGGCGCCTTGCTGGTTTTTCTGCATTGCAAATTACCAGCCAACGAGCATGGCAGAAATTCAAAGGCATAGACAACGTGCGTCAACAGGGAGACACGCCCACTACACAGAAAAAACTACTTAAAGTTCTTTAAGTAAGTAAACATATCTTACTTCTAAATTTAAAAATTAGAAGATATCAAATAATATTTCTAAGTCTATCCTTTTTCTTAAGTTAGGTATCTCTATTTCCTGCTCACCTTTCAGTATATATTTCTCTTACTGTACAATCTAGGATGTGTACTTAAGAACAGGGATGCGAAGGACGAAAATGCAGCTGATGCAGCTCGGCAGTTGCCCCTTGGCGCGATTAGAGCACTTTGTTAGTTTTGCTGCAGCAGCCTGGCGGTAAAAGCGGGCCGAGGGTGTGATGTTGCCCTTTAAATGACTCGACTGACGTTTTGAGTAATTTCCCCATGCATTTTATTGTTGGTGTGCTCAGTTTTAGAGTGAAAAGAGGTTATAGCCACGGCTCATTAAGCTCGAAAACGCTTGACTTACGGAGCTTCTGAGGGAAGGGGGCAACCGGATTGATTGACGCCATTTCCGCTCCAGCGAAGACGCAAAACACCAAGAAGACAAACAAAACGGCTGAATCAAACATAAAAAAAAGTTTTGTTTATCAAATCGATTTGAATTGATCTCAGCCTTCAAAATCGGTTTACGAAAATTGCCTTTATGTTCTCTTCGGCAACAATAAATCAAATAAATCAAACAGAATTCCGAATAAAATTAATCCGTTTTCATGGTTTGCACATTAAAAAATAAATGTTTGGCTTGCGCGTAAACAGCAGACTAGATTCCTAATGTAAACAGCGGGGAGACAGGCAAATTGAGGCATTAGTCAATCAATCACTGCCGGTGCTTGTTGGCCCCGACGTTTAATGGCAGAAAAGTCGACTTTTGGCCCAAAACTAGGCTAAGAAATGTGAGCTGGGCTCGTGCAAAAATTTAACTTTTGCTCTTGCCATTTCGCTTGGCATTCATTTCGTAGCTGCGCCTGACATTTTGAAATGTTTCTTGCAAATCGTTGTTGAGCAGGCTAAGCCTGAGTGCCACGCCCCCCACCACCGCCCCGCCCCCGGGGGCTAACGACCGTAACAAGAGTAACAGCCCATGCCGAAAAAAATATAAATCCCCCACCCGCGAAGAGGGAAAGTTAGAGTTTTCGGAAAATCGCACAGCTATGAAAAGTTGAATTTGAGCCGATAAGAGCCCAGATGGAGGCAATTCAATTGAAAACATGAAAAGTTGTCAACCTGCAGAGTGGCGGAAAATGTTCTCGCTCTCGTTCCTAGGAAACGGATACCGGCGCGAAGGTGAAACACTTGACGAATTCCTGGGACTGCCAAATCGATACGGCCTTCGCGCCAAACTGACAGCTCAGAAATCATTAAAAAACGAATTCTAATTATGTGTGGCAACACTCGAACGCAAATGTTTTGCAAATTCATCTCGGAGCCAGCGAGAGTTCATTGTTTTCCGATTTCAAAGCAAATCTCCTGCGAGCGATACAATTCGCTGACAGCTGATGGACAAACTTTTATCGGCCAATACACCCACGTTTTCTTTTTTTGTTTTGCAAGCCAAGCGTATTTGTTTGGAACGATTGTTTCGTAATAAATTTCAATAAGCCAGCATTCATTGTATGTATGTACACTTTTTGCAGCCAAGCAATTTCAGGGAAACACAGTGGGGATTTATTCTAATTGTGACTCGACAGCTTAATGGATTTCGGAATTAAATACGCCAGCACAGGTTTAACGAAATATGCCACAAGTTGTGTATTTTGTTGCGGTCTCTTTTCTTGTTTAGCGAATTTTAACAAAACTGTATCAGGGGATTATTTTATAGTTCATATACGGATGCGCTTTCCGCAGATTAATAAACAGCAATTTATTCACCGAGCGACTTTATTTAGAGAGTGCGTAAATCATTTTTATGACCCTGATGGCGAGTTGAAGAGCTACGCTCTGTCTGAAAAACTAATTGGCCAACTGGCTAACAACATAACTTTTGGTGAATGCACTTCACTTTACCAACTAATTTGCGGCGAAATTGTTGGCTTCTCGGTTTAGTTTTGCCGTATACAACAGTTTTATAATATCAAATATATGAAATGTTTTACTATGTGCATCATGATATGAGTGGGAAAAAGGTAATTTATACATTAAGCATGCAAAATGAGTTTCCAAGTTTATTGTTGCCAGGTTAACGGGGCTGAGGTGTGTTCATAACTCAGGGACCCGGATCAATAAAACGCCAGAAAACGCTCCGAAATGCAAAGGAAACCCGTCCGAAATAGGCAGGCTCGTAAATATGCATTCTGCTCTTGCAGGGCAATCATAAATAAGCTCCGGGGTGGCAGGTGGGCCAGGTAACCCGAAGCCAACGAGAGCTATTTAGGCGGGCTGAAACAAGAATACAAAGTTCATTAAATACGTATGAAGGCTGGAGTTCTGGCGGGGCACTAAATGCCAGTTGCTCGTCCCGAAAATGGATGCCATAAATGCGCCAGCTCATTTCTTGGGGGAAATGGGAAATGGAGCTGGATCTGCGAGCTGGAAGACCGTAGATGGTAGGATGGTAGATGGAAGATGGAAGCTGGGAGCTGGGGGAATGGAAATGAGGCAAATGCCCCTCATCCTGCCCAGGTCCTGGCCCAAATGTTATTCAGACAAGATGAAGCACTTAGGAGAACGTTGTGCGATGTCAGCATCCTGCGGGAGTGGGAGGTCCTTCACGTCCCACCCGGGTATCATATTCGCCCGTCTGTGTGCGTCCCGGACGGACAGGTGATAATGAACACACTCAGGACCGCGCACACCCACCGCTCACCCACTACACACCCACTGCACACCAGCTCAGCGCGCACATGTTGCTATTTAAGCAGTTAATGACGCGTTTAAAGCTAAATGCCAACCGCAAAGCCTCGTCGACTACTCTTTTATTAACTTTGCAATTTACTTAACGGGCCTTTTCTGCTTGCCCCTTGGCGCAGGGGCAAGAATTCTTTTGTTCCCCTAGGCATTCCACAACAAAAATGGCATGGGCATATATGTTTCACCGATTGGAGAACAAAGCAATAACTATATTCAATACAAATACAAAATAAAAGAAAACTTTACTTGTTACTCTTTCCTAAGTTCTATGATTTAAGTAAGCAGTAAACAAAACCTTGAATGGGTTCAAGAAATAGGTAATCAAATATTCGAATCATTCCAAGAATCTACGGTTTCCCAAGCAAACACACATCCTGTTTCAACACGGCGGTTTCTATTAGCGGAGGGTCTACTGTGAAAATATTTTTGTTTGTTTTCCCGACATGAACAAAACCCATAATTTTCCCTTAGCCACCCTGGCAGTTAATCAAAACTGGCTGGCAGAGCGGCAGAACTGAGTAGACAATAAAACTGAAGGCCCCGGGAAGCTGGCACATCACTCAAAAATTCTGCCTTTTGATAGTCACAACTCTCGACTAAGGCCGCCCAGAAATTCGATTCGTCCTTTATTGAGCTGCCTCCTGATTGCCACACGTCATGTGGCGCCAGGACGTGCTGCCATTTCAGAGCTTCCGTCCCACTCCCACCTCTCCCCTCCCTTTCCTTTACCTCTGAAAAGAGCCAAAAGCCAAGGTGGAACTTGGACCACCTGACACATGTCGGCTGGCATACAAAGTGCCCAAAAATCATGGCACAAAAGGCCGGGGACAATGTGCTCTTTGTTGGTCAGCAGGTGATTGCTTCCTGTGTGTTTGAGTGCGAGGACATTGCGTATACGCCGTGGGTGACGGGCAAAGCCGTCGTAAATCTAATTAAATTTCACACAGCTGCCCAAACATTGAAGCGGACACTTGTTGGCCCACGAAAATTTGGGGAAAGCCCAGGAGTCGAATAACAGCAGGAGCGAACAGCATCGATAGCCATCGGGGGGCTTTCGCGTGAATAATGTAAAAATGACAGGCCATGCATAAGCGCCAAAGCGGGCGAAACATGTTGGCGGTTTCCATTTTTTCGTGTGTTGTTTTTTGGCCATTCAGCAAGGTGGTCGTGGTCGTGGTCGTTATTAGCGTGCCATCATCATCGCCGGCTGGGGCGGCAGTTCATGTAAAACGTGCTCAAGTGGGCACGGTCGCGTGCCTCATTATTCCCCCAAGTCCCCCCAAATCCCCACTCCCTCGTTGGGCACCCGTGAAATGTTTTCATTTCGGAATTGCCCGGGTGTTTTGGTGGTCTTGTTTTCGTGCTACTAAAGAAGAAATCTGAATCGGGTCAGCGACAGTGGCACCAACGACTTGAAAGTCACTTAAAGGCAGCAACACAGAAATGAAAGCGAGAAGAAAGCAGATGAAATAAATGTTAAGGTCAACAGGGAAAGAGACCGAGATACGCTGGCTGAGCGAGAGGGGAGAAAGCCGGAGTCAAACCAACAAGTCTCGAAATATTCACTTTTGTAATTGGATGCTGTCGTCTGTTGGCTGCTGCATACCTTTATAGCCGAGGCGACCCTCAACAATGCCCACCCACCGACCACCCACCGCCTGCGGCCATAAAAAAGGAGCTCGGAATGAATGCATACCAGCATGTGTGTGTGTGCACTGCCAAAAAGTGGGAGTCGTCTTAAGAACAACGTCTTAAAGCTTTGAAAAAACATTCAAATTTAAGTAATATTT